CAAACGAATAGTGGGATTGACCGTCACATTATACGCCCCCACGGCTGAAAGGGCGAGCATGTTTGGTGTGACAGGGATTCGAACCGGCGACCCTCACATTGTGAGTCGAGTGCCTTAACCACCTGACCACGCCGGGACCCTAATCGTTGAAGCCGCCACCCTTGGCCTTACACAAAAGACTATTTTTAATTTGATGGAAGTGAAAGTGCAAATGGATCCCAATTCCAAAGTGTTTTGTTGCATTGTAAATTGTGTTTGCTCCAAAACAATATTTACAGTGCCAATAGGAAATCACTTTATAATTTAAAGAAACACATTAGTTACAAACATTTCCATGAACTTAAGGATTTTGAATCATGCATCAAGAGAGGAACAGGGGTCAAGCAAACGGTCAGTTGAAATAGCAGAGAAAGGGGCTCATACTTCTAGTAAGTGAAAAACTGGGAAAAATGAAACAGAATAACCAACTCTTGGAACCTTCATTCCTGCTAGTGCTTGGAGAGTTAGCCAATGTAAAATAAATTATTTGGTCTATGAGGAAATGCTCCCTTTCAAATTCGTTGAATCGCAAGTTTTGAAGAACTTTATTCAGACATAAGAGTCAAATAAAATAGTTTTTGGTAGGAAAGCCCTTACACGCGCAATTAACGATAAATTCGCCAAAAAAAAAGATGAACTGAAAGAGAAGTTTAGCACAATAGTGGCTCGCGACCACAGTCGACTGTTGGAGCTACTAAAATAGGTAAGTTGTATTAAATTGTTTACATTTTTCATTTTATGAATAATAAAATTTATTGTTCTTTCTGAAATTTAAAACATCTAATAACAGAATGAGATTTGAAATAAGCTTCAGCATAGCATCTTCAGTGAACATGTAGGTGTAACGTTTTGCATTGACTAGTTTAGCTTTGTATTTTTTACTTTTAGTTTTACATATCCTATATAGGTATGACTAAGCATTTAATTGACCCAGAAAGCCTGAAGAGGGAATACGCAGCACTTGCATGCTGCAGTCTCATTTGCCATCACACCTATGACTTGATCGCTAAGGAACTGAAAGCAGTTCACATCAAATATTGCATTTAAAACAAGATTACTGAGACTCGCAAACATGCTCGCCCCTTCATCTGTGGGTGCGTTATAATGTTACGGTCAATCCCACTATTCGTTGGTAAAAGAGTA